AGATAATATGAGAGTAAGTACAATATTATATTTATTTTTATAAATTTTAAATTTTACTAATTTTTTATTTTTTATTAAATTATGACAATTACCTATTCTGATCTTTTAATTACAAATAGAAGAAGTGATAATGGTGTAATTAATGCTATAGAAAATATTGATTTTGGAAAAAACTTACAATATTTTATGAATTACTAAGGTCTTACGATTATATTATTATGATTATAGAATCTGAACAAGCTACACTTAGACAAGTTGCAATAACATAGGCATAGTTGAGAGAAATTATCAACAAATTACCTTCTAATGAAAGTGAATTTAAAACTCTAATGATTAGTGAAATTGATAATCTATGAAAGAAAATTTACAATCTGATTTTTATTATTACCTGATTTTAGCATCCATATCGTCAAGAAAAAGGAATCAAATTGATCAAATTATTACAAATTCAAGAGGATGCTTATTCTTTATTTTGTATATTATATCCAGATAAAGATAATAATGCATTTATAGATGAATAATTAGATTATCAAAATAAGGAAGGTATTTTCAAAGCAGAATCTTTAAATAGTTCAAAACTTACCAAGAATCCATTGAAATATTGGCAAACTGTTTTACTTTATACCAAATTTAGCTAAATTTGCTTATAGGCTCTTTTCAATTCCACCAAATTCAGCAACTTCAGAAAGGGTATGGTCTCTTATAGATAATATACATACTAAACGGCATAATCATTTATCATCAAAAAAAACTGTTAAAATAGCATAAATAACATGGTATATAAGAGAGCAATTGTTTGCAAAAAAAACTCAAGATTCTTTAGATTCTTTAAAGGTTTATAATGAATTAAATAATACAGATGATGATGATATATCAAATGGAGATAAAATAAATATAGATGAAATGATAGATGATTTAGAACAAATATCAGCAAGAATAATTAATGATATTAATGTGTTTGATTCTAATAATGATGATAATTTGCAACCTCCTACTTTGCTTGAACTTTTTGACTCATAAATAATTAAAATAGCATTGATTCAAGAAATTAATTCTATATATAGTCGACCCTCTATAATTGCACACACTTGGGACTAGACATAAATATGCATTTAAAGAGGATGTGCACTTATAGAATAATAAGAATCACGTAATTTATATATTGAATACGATGTTTTATTATTTATTAAAAATTATAAAAATTACAAAATAAAACAATTATTATTATTAAATAACTATCTAAAGTATTGATCTAAAGTAGTCTGTTGCATTGAATTAGTTTGTTTTTTTTAATAAATTTCTCAATTTTACCTGCCAATTTTATTTGTTCACTTGCATTCTCCTATTGAAGCAAAAATAAATTCACAGTCTTTAAACTTTGTAATGCATTATTAATGCAAATAATTTCTATTTCGGCACTATCATCTGCTTCATCTGAATGATCTATAGACATATTTCTAAACATATCTGCAAATTCTAAAATGTCATCAGGAATTTCATAAATCATATCTTCTTCAGAAATAGTTAAAAATTCTTTCACCTGCATTGTATTTGGCAAACGAAAAGCTTTAATGACTTTGTTAAGTTCATCATCAAATGCTAGTTTATTATTAAGCATTAACTCATCTTTAAGCATTTGTTCATTATCAGACATTTGTCTATTATCAGATATCTGTTCATCGGTCTACCTATTTGGTATTATTGGAAATATACTGTCTGGATGCAAGTATCAGCCTTATAAGAAATCAAAATAAGGAAATGATACGTTTTTTATAAGTTTTGTATACGTAATTAATGATTCTATATCAAAATTCTGTATGTTTTATAATGATTTATTTTTTTATAATTTTTTAGA